GATCTGTGAATATATCAACATGAACGCCATATAAATAATGCCGCCATATCTTAAGTGCATGGACAACCGCAGCTAATTCGAGGTCGTGGGTCGGATAAATCCGCTCATGCTTCCATAACTGCCTTGAAGCATACGCAATTACTTTCCCATGTTGCATCAGGACACATTCTAACCCGACACCTGAGGCATCACAATATATGGCATAACCATCTGGACCTTCTGGAAGCGCTAGAACTGGCGCTAAAGTCAACATGGTTTTAAGCTCCTGGAAACTCCGCTCGCAAGCCTCCATCCACTGAAACTTAGTTGCTTTCTGCCTCAACTTCGTTAATAGTGCCGAAAGAGAAGAAAAACCCTCTACGAACCTCCGGTAGTATCCTGCTAAGCCTAGAAAGCTACGAACCTCTGTTGGAGTGGTAGGTCTAGGCCAGGATTTCACAGCCTCAATCTTCTGAGTGTCTGCCTTTATACTTCCATCGGATACAACGTGCCCTAAGAATGCTACAAACTTCAACCAGAACTCACATTTAGAAACTTAGCATATAATTTACTATCACGGAGGGTTTGGAGTACCGCTCGCAGGTGGTCCACATGCTCATCCTCTGAACGTGAATAAACCAGAATATCATCAATAAATACTATCACGAACAGATCTAAAAATGGCCGGAATAGGCTATTCATCAAGTCCATAAATACAGCGGGTGCATTNTCATTCGTCAACCCAAAGGACATGACAAGGAACTCGAAGTGGCCATATCGGGTCCTGAAAGCTGTCTTGGGAATATTTTTCTCCCGAACTCTGACCTGGTGGTAACCCGACCTCAAATCTATCTTTGAAAAGCATCTAGCTTCCTGCAACTGATCAAACAAGTCGTCTATCCTTGGAAGTGGATACTTATTCTTAATAGTTACCTTGTTCAGTTGCCTATAATCGATACACATCCTCAGCGAGCCGTCTTTCTTCCGTACAAATAGTACCAGTGCACCCCAAAATGAGGTACTGGGTCTTATGAAACCTTTCTCCAGATATTTGCGTAGTATAAAAAGAAAGAACAAGGATATGGGTTAAATGAGCGTGGGTAGGTTGGGTAAGGCCTGTGTAGATTACTTCCGACAAGTATACATTCAGATAACTAATGTGTACACATCATACACACACAAAAAAAAACAGTGGCATAGCAAGCTGCCAACCAGTCCATGTCCATGATAGCATCAAAATCCAACATCTCTAGCTCAACTAGGTCGGCTGAGGTCTGACGACCACAAACTGACACCGTACAACCTCGATAAACCCGTCTAGCAATAATAGATTCTCCGATCGGTGTAGATACCGCAAAAGGATCACTTAGTATTTCAGGCACTATACCAAATTTCCCCGCGACAAATGGAGTAATACACGATAAAGTAGATATCCTGGGTCTATCAAGGTATAAGCATCAAGAGAACAAATGGTCAACATACCTGTCACAACGTCTGGTGAAGACTCCTGGTCCTGTCGACCCGCTAACGCATAGCTACGATTCTGGTTACCACCTGAACTGGAACCTCCACCTCTGCATCAACCTCTACCAGTCGAAGACTGAGACTCGCGCCCTGAAGGATGCACGGACATGGATGATCCTATTGCTGAATTCGCCGGTTGCGACACCCCCCCCCCCCCAAAATCTCTATTTGGGCAATCTCGCATCATATGCCCTGGACGTCCACATGTATAACAAGCATCTAAACCGGCTCGGCATTGGCCCAAGTGTCCTCTACCGCAGATGGCACACTACGGCGAAAATGGCCATATCTACCCCAAACCTCGTTGTCGCTGCAAACTTGACGCTTGGGAGCACTCACCCGGTCCTGACTGAATATAACGGTCATACGTGTAACCCTGTGACTGGGGTGGCGGAGGTCTAGGTGGCCGTTCGAAGTACTAGGGCCTATAACTACCCTGAGACTGCTCCTGAGATCTGGCAAATCTCATCCTCTTACATTGCCCTGACTCAATCCTCTCCGTACCCTGCTGCCGACGCCTACCCCTTTCTATATTCTGGGCAAATGCCTGAATCTGGGAGATATCCATACTATCCTATAATGCAGCGGTGGCATATGCCTCGGTCAACTCTAGGGCCAACCCTGCTATAAACCTGTGGCTCTTGTCCCGCATAGTAGCAACTATAGATGGTGCATATCTGGCCAATGAGTCAAAACGGAGACTATACTCTCGAACACTCATATTGCCCTGCTTGAGGGCTAGAAACTGATCGACTCGGGCCTGTCGGATCTCCCGCGGTAAGTACTGGTCAAGGAAGGCATCTGAAAAATTCTCCCAAATAGCGAGAGGTGCATCACGTCCCCTGGATCTTTCACATCCCTCGTACCAAAGGATGGCTATATCTTTGAGTCAAAAAACTGCTAGCTCAACTGCCTCTTTCTCCGTGGCATGCATAACCCGAAAGATCCTGTGAAGCTGATCTATGAAATCCTGCGAGTCATACCTCTGATTTGTCCCAGTGAACTCTGGGGGACCCAAAGCAATAAACTCTCGGACCCTTGAACTCTCAGATCCCTCAGAAGGTCCTGCACTAGCGGATGCCCTAGCCTGTTGCTGGGTAGCGACCAACTGTGCCAACAAATGCACCGCTCTCCTCAAGTCCTGATCTGATAGAAGCGGAGGGAGAACTGGATGTACGGTCTCCCTAGGAATCTCCTCAGGCGGCGGAAGAGCCGGTAATGGCTGAGTAGGGGTCTCTCCCTGGGCCTCCGATTGGGCCCATCTACTGGGGGTACCCTGTTGGTCCCCTCACCTACTACTGTCTCTCTCCTCTGGCTAGCCGTAGCCTTCCTAGTTATCGTCATTTGTGCATGCAAACGCCAACACGTAAGTTTAACTCAAATTTCCTATAACTCAGTTCTACAACACGATTTAGATTTGAAAGAAGGGTAGCCAAGCCTAAATGCCTTGTAGTCCCCTACTTATATAATGTGGTGCACCACACATCTATAAACAAGACCCTACTAGACACGGCTTGTAAACTCCCTATGAAAGAACTGCTCTGATACCACTTTTGTCACACCCCGAGCCTGGGGGCAAAACCGACACCCGGTGCCTCATCTATCCTTGCGTACCAACTTGCGACTCAAGAATTCTGGACATATAATGTCATACTTTAGCCAGGGACCACATTACAAGACAATTTGCGAAGCAAAATATAAAACTGAATAAAGACTAACGCTGACTAAATGTCAACATAAAGCTGGGTCGGCAAGGCCGTTATAACTACTATAACTGACAAGCCAACAAAATATACGTACAGGGCCTACAAGCCCTATATACTGCACTAACTGACAGAATATGTCTACAAGCCTCTACCGATGGATGTACGGTGATCGGAACAGGGCCCCGACCTAGCCATAACCTATCTACATGCATACACAAGATATACACAAAACTTATAGACCCGGCAACTCCGAAGGGCGGGGAGCTCACCAATAAAGCTGAACTCGGGCAACACCTACTGAGGAGGTCTACCCGTCTGTCTGTCTGAACCTGCACGCACGAAATGCAGCGCTCCCAGAAAGGGACGTCAGTACAAAATAATGTACCGAGTATGTAAGGCAATATATAGAAAGCTAAAACTAAACTAATAATCTGAACATATGCTTACCTGCTGATACCGACTCAACTCTTTCAATATAGCAAGTAAAATAGTTTTCCGACCCTATAAGGCTCGGGGTATATATATATATAACTGCTCTGTCATAGTAGGCTCGCTCATAGGCGCTCGGCCATATTAGGCGTTGTATCTCGACCAACTGGGCTCGCTCATAGGCGCTCAACCACAGTAGGCTCGGTATATAATTTACCATCTGATCATAGGTTGCCCAATAAGGGCCTGCCTATCGATTATAGCTCGATGGTAATGAAAATACTGTAATACTATATAAATAAATTCTCTGCTCTCATGACTGGGAAAAAAAGGAAATACTCAATTGAATTTGAAGTCCCGATAAGGAGAATATTGTAACTTACAAGACTAGGAAAATATACATAAATTTCGGGATATGAATTTTTCTTTATGCCTCATTATCAAACTCGTGTAATTACGAGATCATGCCAAAATGAAGAAAGGGCTTAGCCTTAACATACTTGGAGGCGGGAAAAATCCGTATGATATTCTTGAAAAAGGTTGCACTGTACTCCTTTAGAACAACAAAATTTTACGTTGCTATGATTTCAAAATTCTTGTTGGAATTGTTTTGTTGCAAGAAATTTTATTGAAACTTGCTAGATTATAGCGTCTGTTTGAATGTTTGAATTAGGAAGGTGTTATAAGATTTCTTACAGAAACTTGCTAGATTGAGGGACGTCGGTTTGAAATGTTTGAATTAGGAAAAATATTATAAGATCTCTTACTTTGTTTCTTTAAGTCCAATGAAGCCAAATACTACATGACTTACTTTGTTACTTATGATGCCACCTTTCAATTAAGATCATTAGTCACTTATTTTAAATGGAGGGGCTGCCACATTTAGTCATTATCACATATATCCCTAATTAATTAGGTAATATCCCATTACCCAATAATTAACCAATTACCCATATAATTAAGAATTGTCTCAACTTACTTAAAATACTACTCATTTTTAATACACCTTCTACATCATACTATTGTGGTCATATGGTACCTTGTATGGTACTAGTCCATAAGTATCGGGTATTATAGCTCGGACCGGATTTTATCTAAATTCGACAACCTTCAACGAAACTCATTTTCTTTAATTCGTGTACCCTTTCCTTTATGGTAGTTATTGCGTGTTATAAATAGCATAAATACGCTAACCTCAAAGATAATCTCATCCCCGAGTTTATGTCAATTAACTGAAGACGAAACTTTAACGTACGAAAAACGCGAGATGTAACATAATGCGTATTCCAAGATATGTGTACTCTTTTTGCTTCACTAAGATTTTTTCCCACAGGGTTTTTTCTTAGTAATGTTTTAATGAGGCACATTATCTATAGAAATCCAATGGGGAGTGTTATGAAATATTATATTATGTAGTGGATGTCTCCTAAAGAAGTTACTCCTTCTAATATTCTATATTAACCTCTCACTACTTCTTACCATTATGGTTGTAACTCCCACACCTCCATAACCTCCTCCATCATCTTTCCCCATTATCTCAAAATTTACCATGACATCCCTTTGTATTACCTAAATATCATCCTATAAATATAGGGTTTGGGCATCACATTGTACATATTTCAATAAGAATCTCTCATCTCCTGCTCCCTACATTCTTGTCTATTTTCTTGTTTTATATTATTACTTTGAGCTAAGTTTCTTAACAGATTTTAATTAATTTAAGATCAAGGCTTTGGCTCATTGACTCTTCATCTGACTGGTGACACAATAAATTCTCTTTCTGGCAAGCAATTGTTGGCACAGTTTCAGCCTTCCATACTTGCGCATTTCAAGGAAGTGTAACTTGAGAATCCACTCAATCAGTTAATTAAACCTCCTGCTCATTGTGGAAATGGAGAAAATCGAACAAACAAAGAAATAAACACCGTTAAAGGAACAAGATAAAGTGTTTGCAAGAAAGGTAAGTAATAAAGATCGCTCTTTAAACAAAAACGAAAAAAGGAATGTATAAAACGAAGTAGATGGAAAGCAAAAGACCCTTTCTGTGTTCTCAATTAATTCCTCGACATTTTGATAATTCTAGGCAAAATGCAGCCTTGATTTACAGGTTTCCAATAATTTACAGAAAGAAGTACCCGCTTCAGTTTGGTGGCTGTGTTACCAACTGGAGTTTATAAGGCGGTCTCATTCTCATCCGCTTCTATTCTTCTATGTACAGTCCTCAGATCAACCAAGTGACGCATTGTTGGTCTACCATGTGGACAATTCCACGGAGACTTGAGTCGTGATAGATTGTCAAGTATCTGAAACAATGAATTTTATATCTCGGGTCATGAAGCAACCAGAGGGAAGAAGAACAATTTTTGACCAAAAACTCCTGATAGCTGTTCTCAAGCAAGTTTTCAGAAATATGAAATGTTTTTCAGAGTTTTGGAGAAAAAATATAGCTTTTTTAGCATAAACTATCAAACAAACACTTCGAAACTAGAAATAGTATTTGGCCAAAATTCTTTTTACCTTTTTTCCCTTCTATATTAAGCTAGACAATTGCAGAAGTGCAGCGCAGAGAGGATGATACCAAAGATACTATGATATGAGCATAAATTTCAAGACCACGGTAAAATGGACAAAAATACCTTTTGCATCTCATTTCTCCCAAGTGGATCTCCAATAACAATAGATGATTTGCAGGCACGTGATGCCAACATTGCACGAACTCTAGGAGGACATAGTGAATTGGCAGTATCGTCTTTATAAGTACCCATCATGGAACATTCTTCCTGACTATCGGCAAGAATCGCAATGAGTTCTTTCACATCTGCAAGGACAATAAAGTATTTTAAAAAAAGATGAGCCAAAGTTTCTTAATGCAATAAAGCAGATGCAGGAGCTAACACGACTTGTCCCCCCTTACATTCTGTAGATTACATCAGGCCCAACTGTCAATAGAATGACCAAAGGGAAATTTGTCCAGTAATGCAAAGCGCATTCCAGATTATGAAGTTCTCTCTTTAGTTATTTTTTTATGACGCTCTTCTTAGCTATCTTATCAAGGATTGCCAACTTGTGTGGTCGTTTGTGAAGTTGCAACACAAAGATGAAACACTGACCAATGTCCTGCAGACCTTCAAGTTCATGGAAGGTATGGAATGCATCTGAGTGATTACCTGCGACTCCAAAAGTTATATTTTTGCTGAAGGGAACTGCTTTTAGCTTAAATCGATGCCCTGGAGGAGCATGCAGATCCTCTTCCAATAGAAATCCATTTCTCCTGCGAGCCCAAAGACAGAAATGATATTGTCATCACTTAAGAGAGGACATATCGCACCAAATAGTTTTTAAGCTAATATGATTAGTAGTTTATCAAACAGAGAAGTGCCAGATGCCAAGATGATTCTGTGGACTGCATTTTGGCTGCTATATTACAAGATCTATTTATTTCGTTGACCTCTATTTGATTAAGTAGATAAAGAACCTTCCAACTGTTAATTTTTGGCACTTCTATCTGACTTAAACCTAAAAGGCTTTTCTTACTCTTATTCTCATTTGAAATGTTTTCTTTTTCTTTTCTTTTTTAGTTTCTTCACCAAATTAGATATATCCGAAAATAGGTAAAAGGGAAACAGTAATACTCTCTCTCTCTCTTTGTGCGCGTGTGTGTTAGGTGAAAGAGTGAAGACAACATACATTTTTTTTTCTTTTTTGACAAGGTAAAGTTTTATTGATAAAAAGTACCAAGTACAGAAACATAAAAGCACCAGACAACATCTACACAAACTTCCAATTACATCTTCCCTAGCAAATCCAAAAATTCCATATATTGATCCAGTTTTCTAATATACACCTCTTACACCAAAAAAACAAGTTATGCAGACAAGAGTTTTGATTCTAGAAATCTGATTTCTTATGTTCTCAAAACAAACATAGTTTTTCTCACTCCAGATGGTCCAAAATTACATAATTGGATAGTTCTCCAAATCTGCCTCATTTCCTTTCTTATCTTCTGTCCTTGCCAGCTAGCCAATAGATTTCTAATGCTTGAAGGCATAACCCAAGTAACTCCACAAAGGTTCAAGAATAGCTCCCAACATAGCTTTGCAATTTTACAATGAATAAACAGATGGTTGACTAATTCCAAACCTTCTTCACACAGATAGCACCTATTGCTTAAATTGAAACCTCTTTTTTGCAAATTGTCTCGAGTTAAGCAGGCCTCTCTGATAACTAACCACTCAAAGCAGGCTACTTTAACAGGTGCCTTTGTACTCCATAGCATTTTCCATGGCCAATTAGATACGTAATGGTCTGCTTGTTTTTGAAGAAGTTTATAGTCACTGTTGACAGAATACTTCATATCTGCGCTTGTTGTCCGAGCCATGGTGTCCTCTTTATTTTCCTCTATCATAACTGTGTCCATTAATTGAAAAAAATTGACGAACTTCTTCCATCTCCCAATCATTAAAATCTCTTCTAGAATTTATCTGCCAGCCATTGGAAGAATAATGTTCAGCCACACTTCCTTCTTTAGTGAGGGAGCAGTTGTATAAGGACAGAAATCTGTCTTTCAAGCTCACATCCCCACCCATACTTAGACCGGAATCTGATTTTTGCCCCCTTTTCCCAACTTCAATTTAGCATGTTGCTGAAATTCATTCCACAGTTTACTTATGCTGCTCCAGGTGCTCCCTTTGAGGAAATAATGACAACTGGAGGGCTCCATACTTCCTTCTTCTCATACTTGGCATTTATAAGATTCTTCCAGATGCTCTCTTTTCAATCATTATATCTCCATAACCATTTATAAGCAAGCTTTTATTATGGAATCTCAAGTTTCTAACTCCCAGTCCACCTCCTTTCTTAACAATCATCACATTTTGCCATTTGACCAGATGTAACTTCCTTTTTTCTGCATTACCTTCCCACAGAAAATTGCTCCTCATAGTATTCAGTTTCTTCTCCACACTCACAGGTATCTGAAATAAAGACATCAAATAAGTTGGAATCCCATCCATTACACTACTAACCAAGGTGAGTCTGCCTCTAAGGAATAAGTATTGCTTTTTCCATGGAATCAATTTTTTGCAACACCTATCAACTACCGCTTGCCAGATCCTCTGTTCGTTTTTCCTAGCACCCAATGGAAGCCCCAAATAAGATGTTGATAACTGCTCCACTTCACAGCCCATTAACTCGGCAAGATCACCTATACAATGTTCTGCATTAGTGCTAAACATGCTACTCTTTGCCAAATTCACCTTCAAACCCGTTACTGCTTCAAAGACTAGTAGGACCCCTTTGAGATAAAAGACTTGTTCTTCTTTAGCTTCACAAATCAGTAAGGAATCATCTGCATATAAAATATGCGAGATGACACAACTTGCATCACCCCTTCTTTCAATATTTAAGCCTTTAATCCACCCCAATTGTTCAGCTTTCTTTAGCATCTTGTGGGCTTCCATTAATAAGTACTAAAAATCTTACGGTAGAGATGCAATATTCAATCCATTTTATCCATTTCTCACCAAAATTCATCCGCCTCATGATATCCAATACACATGCCCAATTAATATGATCATATGTCTTTTCTAGCTCTAATTTATAGAGTATTCCTTGCTTTTTGTTTCTGATCAAATACTCTACACGCTCATTTGCAACCATAGAAGCATCAACTATTTGCCTCCACTTTATAAAAGCATTCTGATTATCAGAGATCAAATTTCCCATCACCACCTTGATCCTTTTTGCCAGCAGTTTAGCAATTATTTTATATACACTTCCCAGGAAGCTAATTGGCCTGTAGTCTTTTATTTCCCAACATCTTTCTTTTTTGGTATCAAGGCAATAAATGTAGCATTAAAACTCTTAGTGAAATTACCTTCTTGAAAAAAGAAAAAAAAATTAGTGTTCCATACATTATTTTTTACTGTACTTCAACATTTCTGAAAGAAGTGGAGATTAAAACCATCTGGACCTGGAGCTCTCCCTTAAAATAAGCCGTTTCCACTTCTTCCATTGTAACAAATCTTTATACCCATTCTTTCTCCTTCTCCGTCAGCTTGCTTAGATCGTCTCCTAATCATTTTTGCCTTCATGCTTCAGGTTCTGTAAACAAACTTTTATAAAATCCCAGAATATGTTCCTTTATTAATATATCATCTTCAGTCAATTCACCTTCTATAACAATCTTGTCAATGCAGTTGTACCTTTTAGGCACATTTGCCTGTTTATGAAAGAAACTGGTATTTCTATCTCCATGATCAATCCATAAACATCTGGACTTTTGTCTCCAAGACATTTCCTCTGCTTTGGCAATATTTTCTAGCTCACTTTGGATAGCACACCTTTTAGCCTCAGCTTGATCAGAACTTTGAGTCAAAATTGCTCTTTGATCCAAGACTTCTATTTTTTCCGAAGCCTTAATTTTCCTTTCTATCAGATTGCCAAAGATCTTTCTATTCCACTTTTTCAAGTCTTTTTTCAATAATTTCAGCTTTTTAGCCAGGACTTCATCAGCTCTGCCAAGTACATTGTATGAGTTCCACCAATTATCAACCAAATCACTGAAATCTTTATGTTCAAGCCACATGTCCTCGAATTTAAAATAACCCGTTCCCTTACTCCAATCCCCACATTCTAGCAGAATGGGACAATTGTCTGAAGTAACCCTGGGCAACACTCTTTGTTTTAAGAGTTTAAATTGCTCATCCCATCGTTCAGCAAAAGAGGATTCTGTCTATTCTAGAGG